TTTTTTTTTTTTTTTTTTTGTTCGCGGGATGGGGGAAATGCTTTTACGCACCCCGTCAGGCCGTCCTGACGGGAGTATGGGACTCCTGTCAACCTGACCCCAATTAAGGGGAATGCAGGTTGGACAGACTACCCACTAAAACCTCCACCCCGTTGACAAGTCTTTCTCCTATGCCCTTTTCGACAATACCTCGGGAACCGCCATGAGCATATCTTCCAGGGTATTGCCAGGTCGTGCCACTTGTAGTGGGCACTCTGACCTCTTAAGGCCACTTAGCCGATCTAAGAGCCCTGACTCCTGTTGTTCGCACCTTCTTACCCCTTCTACGGCATTAAGGGGGAAGAAATATATTGATGATGATGATCGTAACGGTGCTGCGTCTCTCCTAGCCTACGACGATGAGGAGGCCGATTCCCCATCAGGGGGTGCATAGTCCCGGTCATCGTTTTCACTCTCATTGTCGGAGTTGCAGCGTAGCCGCCTTGCCGCGGCTTCCTCGCTCTGCCTCCGTCTTTCCTCATCTTCTTTGGCGCGCATTACTGACTCCGCGAAGGAGTGGAACGCGGCCCATGCCTCTCTGGATTCGGTTATTGTCCGCATAACCGTGCCGAGCGACAGATCATCTCCGATCGTGCCCGTCAACTCGTTCCTTTGTCCAGACCAGGCCTGGCAAACCTGCATGGTGTGCTGTGCAGTATCCGGACCCTCCCCGCAATGGAAACACCTGTCGGTGTTCAATTTGCCCATCCTATACAGGTATTCGCTGAAGCACCCATGTCCGGTGATCAGCTGGGTCATCCTGAAGGTCAGCAGACCGTGGGATCGGTCCAGCCAACCGTCGAACACAGGCACGACAGCCTCCCGGGTCCTCCATCCTGGCTCTGTGTATGGCGCAGAAGCACCCCTGCGCCACTCCTCGCGGAGCCGAGTTTCCTCCTCCTGTCGAACCTCGCGCTCTATCTCAGGAGTTAATTCGCCCCTCCTCGCTAGCTCTCTCAACCGGACGAAGGTCCGGCCTTGTTTGGCCGCCAGCAAATGAATGGGCGGAGTCCTTGCCAACAGTGTGGCCGCCGCGCTCGATACTGTTCGGTATGCCGCAATTGTTCTTTGCGCTATAGCGCGTTGTGCCCTGCGCAGGGGTATTTGCGCGCGCGGAGATGTCATGAGCTTTTCCGCTCATACCGGCGCTCCGTACAATACAACGGAGTGTAGGACGTGCGCATACAGCCTCCGCCTATCCTCTCCCGGGCCTCGGAGATTCGGCATGAGTCGTGCCAGGGACCTCGCCACCCGGCTCGCCTTCTCCTCCACGTACTCAAAGTGGGGCCGAAAGGACCACTCGCTGTCGAGCTTCACTCCTAAATAAGTCATCGACGCTCGGGTCTCAATCGCCCTGTCCCCCACCCAAACTCTGGGTGGTACAGCCGGGGCTCGCCCCGGACGGTGGAAAAGTACCGCCTCTGTTTTCGGGATAGCCACAGTAAGGCCCAGACTGCGGATGGCGCGCAGGACCCTGGAGACCTGGACGCATGCGCGCCTGCGGACCTCCTGGACAGACTCCGCGGTAGCAATGACCAACGTGTCGTCGGCATAGCAGGTAACCCAGCACCCGTCTTCCGTTTCCCTCCTTAGGACATCGTCAAAGGTGACATTCCACAAGAGAGGACCCAGGACGGATTCCTGTGGAACTCCCGCCTGGACCTCTCTTCTTCCGACGCTTGTCCTGTCAATCGTTGGGTAGACTATCGTACGCTGAGCTAAGTAATCGTCAAGCACTCTCCGCAAGTAGTCCGGGAACCCCCTGTCGGCCAGAGCCCGACGCATGGTCATTTATAGGATGGAGTTAAACGCGTTACGAATGTCCAACCCAACCGCAAGTGCGAATCCCCCTTCGCGTGTCGCTTCACCAATGATTCGCCGTGCCTCCAGAATGGCGTCGCAAGTGGACAGGCTCTTGCGAAAGCCAAACTGTCTCGGCGACAATTCGGAAGCTGGATGATCCCGCATATGCTGACGCATGCGCTCCGCTATGACGCGCTCGAAGATCTTACCCGTCTCATTGAGAAGGCAAATGGGGCGCGCCTTAGGCAGCGTATTCACTCCGGCCTGGGCCTGCGATCCGGGTTTCGGGATCAGCACTAGCTGAGACTCCTTCCATGGAGCGGGGAAGACCCCTTCCCGCAAGCACGCGTTCAAGCCATGGGTTAGGTCTTCGATCATGGGCAGTGGAATCCTCCTCCAAACAGCGGCCCTTATCCCATCAATGCCAGGGGCTACGTTAGCCTTCTTGGGTGCGCAGACCGCGGCCGATGTCTCTCGGGGAGTGACGGCCCATGCGTCGTCCCACTCACAGTCTAGCCAATTGTTGCACAAATTGCGCGTTTCCCCTGCCGGGAACAGAGAGTCCAGGAGACGGTCGAGAGTCTCCGTATCTAGGGTCTCCGTGAGACCGGCCCCGGACCGCCGCAGTCGGCCCATGACCAGACGGTAGGGTAACCCCCAGGGGTCCCTGTCGATCTCGCCAATGAGATCTCTCCAGGCTTTCGCCTTGGCTCTCAAAATCGCAATTTTTAGCGTGCGTTTGGCTTCCTTATACGCGGTCTCGCTTTCTTCCAGCCGTTCAGGAGTGGCTGCCCTCGCGCCACGCCGCGTGTGCTTCAGCCGGGTCCAGTCTCGTCTGGTCCGAATGCAACCCTCGCGTAGCTCAGCGATGTCCAGGCTCCACCAATACGCCGACCGACGTGGATTCCCCTTTTGAGACCTGGGCATTGAGGCGTTGCATGCCTCCGTCATCGCACGATGAGTCCAGTCGGCCCAGTCCTTCGCAGATGCGCAGTCGGCCTGGTGCACAGCGCCGCTCCAAATCAGGGAGGCCCTAAATACATCCTCCTCGATTTTCTTTAGGTTCCATCGAGGTGGGTCCTTGAAGGATGGTGGTCGGCGACGGTGACGTCGTCGCCTTTTTCTCTCCGCTTCTCTGATGGAAAAGAGGATTCCGCTGTGATCGGATAGGGTCTCAAGATTCGACGCGACCCTCCAGTCCGTCATACGCGCGCTCAGGTCCTCGGTGACCCAGGTAAGATCCACTATCGACGTACCTTGAGGTCGCGTGCACGTGGGCGTGTCACCAGAGTTGACGATTCGCAACCCCAGGCTGGTGGCCCACCTCCAAAGGAGGTCGCCCCTACGACTTGTCACCTTGGAGCCCCAATGCGGGGATTTCGAATTGAAGTCGCCACACAGTACCGCCTTGTTGCCCGCAGCTCGTATAACTCCTTCGAGCTTATGCAGTTCTCCGCGAAAGACGTTTATTCGGTCTTGTCCTTTTTCAGGGGGGATGTAGCAAGAGATGACCTTGACATCCCCACATGAGATTGCCACATAATTGTCGCCTCTCTGGAATAGGCTACAGCCCTGTTGGAGATGGTCTTTATTCCAGTAGATGGCCGCTCTCCCGTTGCCACTCGCATGCCAGAAAGGAGAGTCAGGGATGCTGTAGGGCTCGGACACCGCAGCAATACCAACTCTCAATTCGGCCAAGTGCTGCACGAGCAGGTCGTGCGCTTGCCTGCAATGATTGGTATTAATCTGTAGGACCTTGGTCCCCATCGTCAATGTCCATCATTGCCTCGGCCCTCCGTACCGGATCCTCCGCTGCAACGCTCTTGGGTGGCCCTTTGCCCTTGCCTTTAGTGAGGGTCTTCTTGGCGCCGCATTGTCCCGAGCCAAGGCGGTGTCCATTTTCCTTCCCCTGGGATTCGCAAAGTAAACAATGTGGGATGTTATTGCACTCTGCTACCCCATGCCCCGTTTCACCGCATCGGTAGCATTTTAGACTTCTATCCTCCGGGGAGGAGCAGTTCGCTCTCAAGTGCCCGAATCCCCAGCACCTGTAACATTGGACGGGGCGGGCGCGCAACAATTCCACCCGGACAGTCGTCCATCCCATGCGAAGCTTCTTTAAGCCGCCCACACGGACTGCCGCCGCAAGGGGGCACTGCGCCCACACTAGTCCCATGCCGTTAGTCATAGACCGAATCCGGCCAACTCGGACTTCTTCCACCTTACAGTCACCTTTCTCAGCGATGACCTTCTGAACTTCGACACTATCAGTCGTATCATCGAGCCCAATGACTCGAAGTTCGCCCTTGATAGTTGGCCTGGAGACAACCACCTCCTCTCCCTCTTTCCTCTCGCTGAAGGCCTCGCGGAGCCTGCCAGCCAGGACATCCGCTTTTTGGGCTCCACCAGCTCCGGGGATCTCAATGATCATGCCCCCACTAGCGGCCTTGCGAACCTTAGAGGATTCTATCCCCAAGGACGTCAGGGAAACTTTCCTCCTGGCCTCAGAGAGGATCTCGGCATAGGAGCATTTAGGATCCGTACCTCGAATGACTACCGCCGCTGTTCGCGGTGCTCGTCTTCGACGGGGTTGCGAGCTGGCCCTCTCATTGGGGGTTCTCTTACCCTCGTTCTTAGCCCTCCGTGGTTGTTCGCGGGGCTTTTTCAGCTCAGCCGATCTTGGTTGGGGTTGCGGTACCTCACTCCCCTTACCTGTGTCCGCGCTCGCAATCGTAGCAGTCTTCCTCTTTTTCTTGGACTTCGATTTAACAACCTTCGTCCAGGTTGCTGCCTCGCTCATATTACCGGGTGGGAGCAGAGGAGTTTCATCTTCGCGACGAGCCACTACCATATGTTGCTTAAGGCGCACATTCTCTATAATGGTGGGCTTTTCTTTCCTACGGTCCCGCTTTTCGCCTGCAGTTAAGGGGCCCGAACCGAGCTTTGGGTCAGCGGACTTCCTAGAGGCCAGGGGTGGCCGCAGAGGCCGCTCAGGTAGCAAGCGGCTTTCTAATGCCTCAAACCGCGCAGTTATCATCATTCCGACCTGGGTCATGATGGTCCTGGCGAGTTCCTCAAAAGAGGATTTGCTGGTATCCTGCGCGGTTTCCTGCGCGGTTTCCCAGGGCTTGTTGTCTTCCTGTAGCTTACATTTCCTGGGTGCATTTCGCCTTACTTCCCCTGTGTCTCGGAGAGTGGCCGGTTCACTCATCTCCACTTCAGGCATTTGCAGCTCCAGTTCCATCTCAGGTGCGGGAGGGGAAGGACAATGGCGGGTGCTCATGGTGGCAAGCTCGCGCATTTCATCCTTAACCTCTTGCAGTTCCTTCCTCAGTGACTCCACCTCTTGCTGCAAGCGCTTGTTCTCTGCCGCCATGCTCTTAGTTTCATCCTTGAGAGAGCGCCGGCTGAGGGTCTCCGCAACCACTTGGATCGTGGATGATGCGTCCTTAAGTAACTTGATGTAAGATCCCTTAAGGTTCTTGCATGTCGTGGCGACACGCCTGATTGCTGTAGCTTCCTTCTCCACCATCCTAACAAGCAGAGCCGCATTGGCTCCCTCGATCGGCCCAGTAACATCTTTCCCTTCATCAGGGGAAAAGTCGGTATCACTGGGGGTCTTGCCTAGTACCTGCATTTTGTCTTTGCACCGTTGCATCCATTCCTCAATTATTCCCTCTTCAAGCTTGAGCTGCGCTTCTCTTTCCCTTTCCTCTCTGACTTCTCGCTTAGCCGCCGCGAGTCCCGCATAGTCGCCCGTAGTCGGTGGACGCCCGCGCTTTCTCTCCTCCATACCTGCTATTGCCCACGCGTGAGACTCTTCACTCGTGGGCCATACAGTGGCAGGAGGGCTTACTGCTGATCTTTTCTTCTTCCTCCTGTTGTTGTTTTGGGAAGGGCCAGTACGGGAACTCTCATCCAGCGTCAACTCGTCCTCTGCCTCGCTGGATAGCCTGCGAGACGGTGGCCTCTTTCCCAATATGTCGCTTGCTGAACTTCGAAGACTCATTCTTGAGTCACTCGAGTCCGAGTGGCATTCTTCCATCTTCTCGGTGAGCGTGTCCGAGTTAGAACTGAGAGTTAGAATTTCGTCCGACTCCAGTGGCTTTTCACGTTTAACAGCGCACCTCTTGGGGGCCACTTTCCTCCGGCTCTTCTTTTTGGAGGAGCTCATTTCCTTTTTCACATCAATCAATACAATTGATGGATTGAGCTTAATATCTCGCGCGATAGCTTCTCTATCAGCCGCTGAGCTCGCCGACGACTCAACGGATAGCCTGTTGCTTGATAACGACGAGGGTAGGGCCAGGACACTACCGAGGCCGAAGCCTCCCTCACCCCCCGCCGGCGACTGGGTATCCGAACCCCCTGTCGCAGTAAGTTTATTCCTGCTACTCGACATATTAATCATAAAAAAAGTAGTTTGTTAACACAGTGTCCTTCTGCGGGTTTGTAATCAGAGTTTTCCTTCTCCTAGGTCGGTTGCCGGCCAAGGCTAGCGAGTCCGACCTGCCCGATGTATAAAAACGTGGCTGGGCCCAACCCAACAGTACGTCGGACGGCCCCAGCCGCTGGACCGGACCGGAAGCCCGGGAAACTCCCGGTGGATCCGCCCCGGACCATCATCGTCACCTTAGTCTTACTAAAGACCAAGTGTGACCCAGTCCGATGTCACTGATATTCTCAGGTACCTCAGACTGTCCCTCCATGATTGACCAGAGATAGCATCCCTGGTCATCACCCTTGTGGGACCCTTGGACTGGTCACAGCCAGGCACCCACATTCCCCCCACCGGAGCCAGCGGCCCGGGCCCCCGAAGGGAACCGAGCCGCCGGCTCAGGTTGGCATGCACTCACCCGTGGACCAGGAGCACCCAGACCGCGGGGAGGCGCCGGCGGGAGCACCCGCAATGTTTTTTATAGAGGTTTTCTCCTCTTGGCGTGCGCCTCCGCTTCTCACCGAGATGCAGAGACGCGCCTGCG